CCTTGCCACTGCACCCGCTCTTGCCCCTTCCACTCCACCTTCTCCCTCCGGTTCTGCTGTCGTCCCTCTGTCTCCCACTGCTGCACTTGTTGCACTTGACATCACTCCTGTTCGCGCCTCGCCTCGCCGCCTGCCCTCACGTCTCACCCCCTCAAAGCCTGTCGAGATATCGCTTATCAGGGACATCATATCGTTCGTGTCCCAGCGAGCGTCAACAAATGCGGCGAAAGAGGGTCTGTTGAATGCAAGTGTGCAAGAATTGGCTGATACAGATGCGCCTGGTCTGTCAGATGAAGATGTGAAGGAGCTGAATTGCATGCTGAAGACATGGGGAGTTGATGCTGATGCAAAGCAGCTAGACACTGTTGTTGACGAGTATGGAAGGATTGCGCTGCACGTTGCTGCTCGCGATGGGGATGTACTTGTGGTGGGTTCTCTTTGCCTCTCTTGATTTATCCTTCCTCTTCCTTCCTCCTCTCTTTTCGCCTGTCTTTTGTCTGCCTTTCCCTCCCCCGTCCTCTCCATTTCGCTCTGCGTTTCACAACCTTTTTTCATGCTTCCTCGCACCGTCCTCTGCTCCTATGCCCTGCCCATGTGCTCCCTTTCTTCCTGCATGCGCCGACCTGCGTGCCCCTGCCTGCATCGCACCTCTATGACGCATGTGTTAACGCATGATGCGTTTGCCAGCATCACTCTGCCAGCATCACATTGCTGCAACCTTTATCACTCGCCCACCTTCCATTCACTTTGCAATCCCCAGGCCACCCACACCACCACACATCGCCAGCTGTGGTTGCCACTGCAATCACTCTCCCTCTCCACCGCCCTCCCCCTCTCTCCCTTTCATATGCCACTGCAGGTGCAGGCGCTATTGGGCCTGGGCATGCCTGTTAGCGTGCGCTGCAACAACCGCAGCACACCCATGCACCGAGCTGCGTGGGGCGAGCATGTGGCGTGCATGAAACTGTTGCAACGTTATGGTGCTGACATCCGTGCTTGCACTAACAAATGCTGTGAGTGTACAGAGAAGCATCTGCTGTTGCCCCCTACCGTCTTCCTCTCCGCACTATTGTGCACAATGCAGCTGCTTCTTGCCTATTATTCCCTCCCACCCACCTTCTCCCCATCATTCATTCCTTCCTCCCACTGTCGCTCTGCCCGCTCCCCCCGTTGCGCTCCCCCCGTGTGCCACTCCCACAGGGACCCCACTGCACGACGCAGTGAGGCAGGGCAAGTGGGAGGCAGTGAAGTGGCTGGCACAGCAGGGAATAGACCCCCAGGAGGTGGAGACCAACCCCTCCCCGGGGGTGCTGCCTGATGACCTCCTGGCGGTGGAGGTGGCAGTGGTGCAGGCGGCGGGGGAGGTGGAGGTGGTGGGGGTGGTCGTGGGGGTGGAGGCGGTGGAGGTGGTGGTGGGGGCGGCGGAGGCACTGGGAGCGGTGGAGGGGGTAGCAGCGGCGGTGGGGGAGGAGGGAGCGGTGGTGGTAGTGGTGGTCAGGGCCAGCAGCAGCCGCAGCAGCAGCAGCAGCGTCAGCGCCAGACCCCCACTTCCCAGCAGCTTCTTGACTGGTATGCCGGGCGTGGGGCTTCTGGGGGTCCTGGTCGCTGCCCCTATATCATTCGCACAGGTCCCCGCACTGGTCGCCAGTGCACAGGTTATCACACTGAGCAGCGCTGCTTCGCTCGGCTTAGCGGCGCCTGGCGTGCCAAGTTTCCTGCTGCTCACGACTACCTTGGTGCTGAGCCTGGGGGTGCGGAGCTTGGGGGTGCTGAGCCTGGAGGTGCGGCGCCTGCGGGTGAGGACCCAGGAGGTGCTGAGCTGGGAGGTGCGGAGTCTGGGGGCGCTGAGCCTGAGCGTGAGGAGCCTGGAGGTCCTGAGCCTAGGGGTGCTGTGTCTGGAGGTGCTGAGCCTGAGCGTTAGGAGCCTGGGGGTACTGAGTCTGGGGGTGTGACGCCTGAGGTTTCTGAGTTTGCTGCTGCGCGGTCTCCTTGGGGTAGCCGCCTTCGTCCGCGTGTGCCTCTCACCTCACAGCAGCTGCACGACTGGTACGGTCGCCGTCAGGGTCGCGCTTCTGGAGCTCGAGGCTCTGCCGCTAGAGGTACTTCTGCTGACGTCACTGGAGCTGGGAGTGGTGCTGGTCCCGGAGGTGCTCGTACTGGAGGTACTGGAGATGCTGGGGCTGGAGGTGCTGCTGAGTCTGGGGGTGCTGCTGCTGGAGACACGGAGGCTGGAGACCCTGGGCCTGGAGGTGCCGGTTCTGGGGGTGCTGCTGAGGGTACTGGAGCTGCTGAGGGTGCTGGAGCTGCTGGAGGTACGGGAGCTGCTGCGGGTGCTGGAGCTGCTGAGGGTGCTGGAGCTGCTGAGGGTGCTGGAGCTGCTGGAGGTACTGGAGCTGCTGAGGGTGCTGGAGCTGCTGGTACTGGTGGCATTGCACAGCTGCGCCTGTTCTTTGCTCCCCCGTCTCCGTCGTCTCTTCCACCGCCTGACTCCGTACTTCGCCAGGTTCTTAGCCTCCCGTCGTCTACTGGTCTTCCGTTACAGCATGGCTCACCTCTGCCTGCTCCTCCTCCTTACGCTGAGCAGACAGGGGGCCTTGCTGTGCGTCGTGAGCCTGCGTCGCGTCCTGTCTCACCTGTCCGTTCTAGTCGTTCCTGTGCTCGTGTTCCTCGTCAGCGTCAGCCGGCTGTCCCCGGCCCTTCCCTTGTAGTCCGTCGTCCTTCCTCTCCTCCGTAGCGTGTTCCTCTGCCGACTCCTCCTGCGTCTTCTCTGCCTGTTGTTCCGGACCCTGAGTCTGACCAGTTTCGTGCTGAGCACCCTACTGTCACGCGTCTGCTAGCCACTGTTGTCAGTGACCCGTCGTTTGAGTCTTCTGCTGCGTCTGCCTTAGTCGCTGAGCTTGTTGACTTTGCTGCTGCCTGTCGTGTAGACTACGCTGCTAGTCTTGTTGCTGAGTCTGAGTCTGTCTGTCCTCCGTCCGTCGGGGGTGAGTGTGCTCTTGGCACGGACGTCCTTGCGGACAGGCACGAGGACCTTGAGTGTTTTGCAGCCGCTGCGCCTCATCTTGTGTCCATGCTGCTTGCCCCTGAGGGAGACCCGGATGCACCAGACATCCCGACCCCGCGCTCTTACGCTGAGGCGATCGCGGGTGAGTACTCCTCTCAGTCGCAGACAGCCATGGATGCAAAGATGACATCCTGGAAGTCCACAGGCACCTACGTCGACGAGGTTCCCCCTCCTGAGGCGAACATCGTCAGTGGCATGTGGATTTTCAGGGTGAAGCAGCCGCCAGGTTCTCCGCCTGTCTTCAAGGCTCGTTACGTTGCTCGAGGTTTCAGTCAGCGAGAGGGGGTTGACTTCTTCCAGACCTTCTCCCCCACCCCGAAGATGACCACTCTTTGGGTGCTGCTGCACGTTGCCGCCCAGCGTGACTACGAGCTTCACTCTCTTGACTTCCGCACAGCTTTCTTACAGGGCAGCCTGCACGAGGAGATCTGGCTGCGCCGCCCACCTGGCTTCACTGGGTCGTTCCCTCCTGGTACCCAGTGGAGCCTCCGGCGGCCGGTCTACGGTCTTCGCCAGGCGCCGCGTGAGTGGCACGACACACTGAGGACGACACTTGCGGCTCTTGGGTTTTCTCCGTCGACTGCTGACCCGTCGCTGTTTCTGTGCACCGACACTTCACTGCCGCTGTTCTTCATCCTCGTGTACGTCGACGACTTGGTCTTTGCCACTGCTGACACTGAGGCTCTCGCCCTGGTGAAGTCGGAGCTGCAGAAGAGACACACGTGCACATACCTGGGTGAGCTGACAAGCTATCTTGGCTTGTGGATCACCCGGGACAGAGCACGCCGCACCATCACACTGACTCAGTCACACATGGTGCAGCAGGTCCTTCAGCGCTTCGGCTTCACCTGGTCCTCGGCATAGCCCACCCCTCTGGCTACAGGTCACTTGCTCTCAGCTCCACCTTCGGACGAGTCCGTAGAGCCGAGTGGTCCTTACCCAGAGCTAGTGGGCTGCCTCATGTACCTGATGACCTGCACTCGTCCTGACCTTGCGTACCCTCTTGGCCTTCTGGCTCGCTACGTGGCTCCTGGTCGGCACCGAAAGGTGCACATGGATGCTGCTAAGAGGGTACTACGCTACTTGTGCAGTACATCGGGCATGGGGCTCGTGCTTGGAGGACGGAGCGACGTTGTCCTCACTGGGCACTCAGACGCTTCTTGGGTTGACGACCTGGCTACGCAGCGGTCGTCACAGGGTTACACCTTCAGCCTTGGCTCTGGTTCGGTTTCTTGGCGTTCTACACGCTCGTCTTCAGTTCTCAGCTCCAGTTGTGAGGCTGAGATCTACGCCACAGCCATGGCTGCACAGGAGTTACGCTGGCTCACCTACCTGTTGACCGACTTGGGAGAGAGGCCTCGTTCTCCTCCAGTGCTGTACGTCGACAACAAGGCCGCCATTGCCTTGTGTCAGGAGCACAGACTGGAGCACAGAACGAAGCACATCGCTCTGCGTTACTTCCTTGCTCGAGAGCTACAGCAGCGTGGTCAGCTTCGTCTTGCTTACGTGGCCACTCGGGCCAACACTGCTGATATATTGACCAAGGAACTTCCGCCTGGTGATCATCAGCGTTTCTGTACTTTGTTAGGCCTTGTGCCCATGTTTCCTCACTTGCTGTAGGCTTTGTTTGTACTGTGATCTATATATCTCTGCATGTGAACTGGCCTTGTGGCCTTTTTGCTTGTGCTCAGACTGCGTGGTGACGTTGTGATCCACCCTGAGCTGTGTTTTGTTTCTTCTTTTGACTGGTCTTGTGACCGTTGCTTGCTCTGGCTATCCCCCATTTCGCCTATCGGGGTGTGTCAAATTATACATATATATGTTTAGGTTATCTAGGCTGTATGGGGGTTAGCACTAGGGGGTACAGAAACTTTCTCGACACTCTAGTCTTGTACCCCAACCTTGACCTAATCTCACCCATTCCCTTGACTTATTCTTAACAGCTCCCCCCGTGTGCCACTCCCACAGGGACCCCACTGCACGACGCAGCGAGGAAGGGCAAGTGGGAGGCAGTGGAGTGGCTGGCACAGCAGGGAATAGACCCCCAGGAGGTGGAGACCAACCCCTCGCCGGGGGTGCTGCCTGATGACCTCCTGGCAAGGGCGGTGCAAATACGGTAGTGAAGAGGGTACGGAGTACCGTAATCCCCCAGAGAAAGGAACGTTCTTTGCAGTTGAAGACCGCCGGGTAGCAGAGCAGGGCTCTAGCTTGGCTTATGGCGACCCTGGACGATCAGGGTGTGGTGTATCTTGGCTACATGGCCATTGGATTGGTAGACCCTGATTGGAAAACGGTGAAAACTGCACTACACTTTGCCCGTTATACATTATGAATTCTAGGTAAAACAATGCTTTATGTACCACTTTTCCCCGGATACAAGCCCCAAGCTTGAACCGTGTAACCCTCGATCACTGATTTGCACCACCCAACACACCCTCCTTCCTCCTGGCTTCCCACACTTCTCCCACCATAAGTGCCTTGCTCCAGTCCGCATCACTGACCTCCCATCTCCGCCTAAACCGCGCGTCAGAGTTGCTGAAGAGGCACGGCAGAGACAGCACCCTGGCGGCATGGCGGTCCTTCCTCGTCACCAGGAAATACCGCGGCACCAGCATGCGCGGCAGGCTGCGCAGCAGCACGTTCGGCCGCACCCTCATGTCCTCCTTGCTGCGCATCATCTCCCCAAGCACGAAATCAATCTTCGGCCGGAGTGTACTGTGCCGGACCTGGATTATCCCCGGCTCGCGCTGTATCATATCTAAGGTAACTTCCTCTCCAAAAATGTCGATAAGTCCGAACATGGCATCTTCTATTGTGCGAGGGGACACAGTGAGCAGGGCTGGGTGACGGGAGAGCACGTAGGAGGTGCCTTGTGGGCCAAAGAGAGTGGTGAGTGTGGTTACCACCTCCTGCATGGTTTCCCTTCTGGCGTGGAGGATGTGCGGTTGCTTGCGCACGAGGGAGAGCACCGCTGGATCCGCTGCAAACGAAAGGGAAGGATCGAGAGGAGGGACTGGAAGAAGCGAGGCAGAGTCAAACCTCACCCTTCCCCGTACGCTCCATTTTGCGTTCCCCTCTCCTTCTCCTCCACTTCCCTTTTCACCTCCCACCCCCTCCTGCGCTTCTGTCAGCGGCACAATTTCAGCCAATCGGGAAAGTCTCTGTTTAAGTATTTCAGGGGAGAAGCGGAGGGCGAGGGGGTAGCGGAAGAGAAGCGAGTGAGGGGGGGCGATAATAGAGTGCATTGCAGAGAGGTGCACAAGGAGCGAGGGCAGGGGCGTGCGGAAGACACGGCAGGCAGCAGAGTGCAGCAGCTTGGCGACGGTGGGGGGAGGGAGGTGCAGGAAGAGGAAGTGCAACACCTGCTGTAGATGGGGGAGATCGGTGGAGGGGAGGTGAGAGTGAGCGGGGCTGGTAGGAGGGCTGTGGGTGTGAGAGAGAGGTACAAGTGTGTGTTGCTGCTGCTGCTGCTCTGGGTCAAGCAGCGGTTGCTGCCGGTGAGTCGAACTGTGTTGTTGCTCTGGAATGGAGTCGATCTCATGGCTGTCACTGCTCTTGTTGCTGCTGTCATTGCTGCTACTGCTGCTCGTTCTGCTAATGCTGCTGCTGCTGCTGCTGCTGCTGCTGCTGCTGCTGCTGCTAATGGTTCTGCTGTTGCTGCCGTTGCTGCTGACGTCATCCAGCCGGGCATCCAGAATCAGCTCGGGCACCCGCCGGATAACACTCAGAAACAGCGACTCGGGCAGCCCGTGGGCAGAAAAGATCTCAAGAGCTGCCCGAATGCGGTGGGTGAGGGGCACGAGGAAGAGCGGGGAGCAGGCGCGGAAGATGGCAGCGACGGTGTGGGGTGAGGGATGCAGGGCGAGCAGCGCCATGGCGTTGTCCCTCGTGGCCCGGTGCGAGGCGAAGGGCGGCGCGATGTGCGCGAGGTGGGAGGAGTAGAGGTCTTGGAACTGCACATGTAGAGATGGGGGCGGCGAGGAGGCGGGAATGGCGATGGGGGTGGGGTTGGCGGTGGGGTTGGGTGTGAGGGTGGAGGAGAAGGTGTTAAGGGCAGCGATACCATCATGAGAGCGTGCAGTGCTGCTGAGGCCATGGTGGACCTCCTCCAACTCGGAAGCACCACCCATCTCATCCTGCTGCTGCTCCCTCACACCGCCATCGCTCCACACAGCACTGCCGTCGCTGCCACCAGCACGCCCAATCGCTTCCCTGCCAGCACCGGCAGACGGGATGGCAGCATCTAGCCCAGGCCCCACTTTCCGCGGCCTCCCCCTCCTCCTCCGCCGGCTGTGCAGCCTCGTCTCATCGGCGCCCTCGACTTCCGCACCCACTAATCCTTCACTCGCTTTTCTCCCATCGCCCGCACCACCTGCCTGGCCCTGCCCCTCACCCCCCTTCCTTTCATCTGCTTCGTTCCTCTTCTCCCCATCTCCTCTTCTCCCCTTTCCCTCGCCTCCTCTTATCACCTTTCCCTCATTTCCACTTTTCCCCTTCCCCATCTCTCTTTTTTTCCCCTTCCCCCCCTTTCCGTTTTTCCCCTTTCCCTCGTCTCCATCAACAAAACCTCGCTTCTTTGCCACGTGGCACATCGCCCTCCACGTCCCCACCCTCCACCTCGTACTCGGTACTATCAACCCCGCTTCATGCACAAGCCACACCCGCGAATCCATTCCTCTCGCGCACCACAGCTGCTCCACCCTGCCGCCTCTGCCTCCCATGTCGTCCCAGATACCCTGCCTTCTCATTCCCCCAACATGAATTGCTGATGTCCCAAGTGCTGGTGACGGCAGCCCTGAAGGTAATGATAAAGCCGATGCTGATGCTGCTGATAATGCTTTGATATCTTTTGCTTTAATCTCTGCTGCTTTAATGTCTGCAGCGGCTGCCAACGCAATCCTCAATCCCTCCCGTGGCTGCCTCGCTCGCCACCATGGATCGCGCTTCCACGGAATAGCGGGGCTAGCACGACCTGGAAATGCTCCTATCGAAGAGCTACTGTAACGGAGCAGCCTGTACGCGCGCAAAGGCGCCGTGCTGCTGATTCCGACAAGCAGGTCACGGTGGCTGTGCGTGTTTTCAGGTACGATCCAATGCCGCACTGCTAACGTGGACGCGTAAGCGCAACGTGTCGCGATCTGCCGTATACTTTCAGATCCGCGCATCACAGCGGCAAGCGCGCACCGCACGAACGAGCCCGAGCGCGAGAGGCGTTACATTCCATGCTACCCATGGGTGCGCGCCGCTGATAGCGACTCTAATCAAGAACGGATTCGCTAAATTTCGAGCCCTCTTCGCCTGAGATCCCTCTCGACGGTGCAAAGCCACCACGGTGTTCGCTGTACTGATTTGCATGTGCACTGGGGAGTCGGGGACTTGACCAGGCGTGTACGAGGGGTTCAGGGTTGTGCCGCAAGTGTGTTCCTCAGGTTTTGGAATTCGAGTTTCAAAAGTTGCTCTTGTGTACCACATTCACGGTGTGGGTAGCAATTCCGCTTATCGGTTTTCTTTTACCGATGTTTCACCATCCACAACGTTCACCTCTCGAGGCATGCTGAGCCCTTCACCTCGTCTGTGGTTCCCCCCTACCCCACCCCACACCAACCAGTGTCATGGCGCAGTGGAATGGAATGCAGGCAAGCCTCCATCGCGGCCGTCCACACTATGCGATGCGACCATCGGAACCTTTGAACTCGGTGCACGTGGAGAGGCGTCAGCGCATGTCGCATCGTAACCACCCATGCCGAACATCAGGTGCATCTCGTGGGGAACCCTCGAATGCGACGCACATGATGGAGCGGTGTCAGCCACATCGAATCGCATCGAGCCATCGTGCGCAGCATCCCAATGTCCGGCGCGCAGTCTCGCAGGTTCGCAGTCTTGGCGGCGAGCATGGCGTTGCGTTGCGTAGTGTTTGCAGCCCGCGACGCCGCTCAGCCTGAGCTCAGATTGGCCAAGGCTGAACATCCCTGTGTGCGGCGCCGTAGCGCAGCGGGGAATGCCGAGCGCCATTCGTGCGACCTGATGGTCGCCTGGAGGCCTGGAACCACTTTTGCTGTTCCCTTCGAGCGGTTTGGACGACCTGATATCATCTTTGCTTTCCACATTCAGTGAGTAGCGACGACGCAGACTAGTGCTTTTCCTGCACGTTTCGATTCTGGTTCTGGGCCGAAGGACTTGCAGCAGAGAGACGGCCGTGAATGGGCTGCGATGCAGAAATCGCGAATCTCAGCCTTGACGACGCAGCAGTTTATCGTAGCAGCAGCAGTAGAAGCAGCAGCGGCAGCATTCGACGATGACGGCGTCGAGAATCTCTCTAATTGGCTCTCGCGCGTCGTTCGCGAGGCGACGACAGAGCAGCAGCAGCTCGACGCCATCGCGTCGTGCCTCTTCGTCGCGAACGCCATGTGCGACTGGCCCGACTCGGACGCGCACAGGCCCAAAGAGAAGTTGGGCTTCGACATCTTCTGCAAGATGCCGCCCGTCAAGAAGCTGCTCGCTGCGGAGCGGGCACGCAGGCGCACGGGCGTGCAGCACGCACACGGGAGGGAGGAAGAAAGCAATGAGTGCGACGGTGAGTGGTTATCGTTTCGGCTGCTCTCTGCCAACGTGAGCTCAGCGGAGCTGTGCTGCTCGGCAGCCATGGCACTCAACTTTACTCTCTGGTCCGCCCCGCTATGCTCACCCCCTTATGCCCTCTCTCCACCATGCCCACCCCCCATGCGCACCCCTCTATGGCAGCAGGCACCTTCTTTCTGTTAGACGACAGCAGCAGCACGCGAGGCCCCAACACGCCCTGGAACAGCTTCAGCGGGCGCACAAGCTACCCACCAAGGCCCGTCAAAGTCGCTGTGCCGCCCGCCTTCAAGGCACTGCTGCCTGCCAACAGATGGGACCGGGACGGTCGCCTGCGCACATCGCTGGGCACGTGCCATGCTGGACTCAAGCAGCCCGGGCACTCGCCACGCAAGGTTCGCCACTGGCTTCGCACCTCGCATTCTTCTCTCGTCTCGTCCCTCATCTTGCGCCGCTTCCGAACTTCTCCATGGCCCCCTTTTTTCCAAATCCCACCGATGGATTGAAGAAATTGTTGACCTCTCCATCCTTCCTCCTGTTTCCTCCCCAACGCTGATCTGCCCAACACAGAGGTCCCGCCCGACACATGAGGTGCGCGCGTGTGTGTGTAGGGAGCTGTAAGTAGTGAGCAGGTGTCACATGGGGGGTTGGGGCATGCGGGTATTGTGCATGTGCATCCATGCTTGCCTCCTGCTCAGGGTGTCTCCTGACGCTGCTGCTTCTGTCAATTTCCTCTGCCAGATCCCTTGTAAACCAGCCACCTTATTTTCCATTTCTGCCATCCGTCACCCGGCCTGCCAGCCACCCTCTCTGAGCGCGTGGAAGTACTACCTCGCCGAGCCCCTCCCACTCTGCCACCGCTCGTGGCGCACGTCACCAGCCGCCATCGTGTCGGAGCCACAGCCGCCCTCACCTTCAGCGGCACAGAGCGGGGCGGCGCCGCCAGGGCCGTCGTCGTCATCCCCCCGCTCGTCACCAGGAGACACGGCCTCACAGCCACGCGATTGCCACTTGCAACCGCTTGTTCTCATCCACATCGGCTATGAGAAGCTGTCGCCATCCCGCCGCCCCCCTGCTGCCCTTGCCACTGCCTCCGATCATCCCGCTCCCGCTCCCGCTGCAACCCCTCCCGCCGGTCCTGCTGTCGTTGCATCTGGTCCATCTGCTGGCCGTGACATCACTCATGCACTCACCTCGCCTGCCACTGCCACACATATTCATGCCTTCTATAATAACACCGCTTCCGGCTCCTCGCCACCCTCCTCCGCGTCCCCCCACGGCACTGCCCCCTTTTCCACACCACTCGCCTTCCCTGCACCTTCGTCTTCTGCTCTACCTACACCTCCACCCCAGGCTTCTGCTCCCCCCTCCTCTACCTACACACCCCCCTCTTCTGCGCGCCGCCCCTCTCACGCCCACTCCTGGAGCCCTACCTGGCCCTCCGATTTCCCTCCATTTTGCGCAGACTCACCCTCCTCAGTTCCCTGCCAGTGCCCATGCCACCTTTACGCAGTGAATCTGTTCTTGGAAGTTGTGCTTTTCGTGTCAGAAAGAGTGCGAGGAGAGGGGGTGGTGGGGGCGGAGACGACTCGGGAGGGTCAGTCGAATGAGAATGCGCATGGATCGGCGAACGAAGGCAGGCGACGTCTGCCGGAGGCGGATCTGAATACCCTGTTGCAGGAGTTGGGTGTTGGCCGCATGAGTCGGCTGCATCACATATTCGACGGGAATGGATGGACGCTTATCCATTCCGCTGCGCGCCAAGGGAATACACCTGTGGTGAGATCTCACATTCTCTAAAACGTCCTCTCTTCTTTTCCCTCTTCCTCAGCTTCTCACCTGTGGCTTCTCGGTTCCCCTGTTCCCCTCCATCCCTCTATCCCCTCCCTCACAACTCTCCCTCTACTTCGCTCTAATCCTCTAAGCCTCTTCTTTCCATCGCTTTGTTTCACTCTGTCCTTTCTGTCCCCTGTCCCTCTGCACTCGTGATGGGCTGTGTACACTCTCTCTCTCTCCCACCTCATCGCATGCCCTTCCTTCGTCACACCTCTTGCACATTTCCCGTACTCTTTCTGCTTCTGCATCCATCACAGTGTGACGCGCCCACCGCCCCTCAACTTTGGTTCGCCTGCATCCCACCCAAACCATGTGCCTCCATCCGTAGGCGACACTGCTGGTTGGGCATGCAGGGGAGGAGGGAGCCGAGTGTGCTCATCATTGAACAGACGTCACTTTCCCTCCCATTTGCCCCATTGCTTCAGCTTTAAGGTACCTGTGCATATGGGCGTGCGGCGAGGAGCATGCTTCCCATTGTCGCATTCCGTCTCCACCACTCCCTCTTGTATTCCTGTGCAGCTGGAGGCGCTAGTGGGGGTGGGCATGTCGATTGGAGAGCTGGGCAAAGATACCCTCACGACGCCAATGCACCTGGCAGCATTGGGGGGACATGTGGAGAGCATGCAGTTGCTGCGAAGTCATGGTGCCGACATCCGTGCTCGCACCAGAAAGTGCTGTGAGTGACAGATTAACTGGTGTTTACACCTCTTTCGTTTCTGACTGTTGTTTCTGCTTGAGCATGCATCGCATCTAATAATCCCGCACTTCCCTTTATTGTTGTCCCCACCGCCTCCCTCCACTCTCTTCCCTGCTTCCTCGCCTACTGTCTCCCTCCACTCTCCTCCCTGCTTCCTCGCCTACTGTCTCTCTCCACTCTCCTCCCTGCTTCCTCGCCTACTGTCTCCCTCCACTCTCCTCCCTGCTTCCTCGCCTACTGTCTCTCTCCACTCTCCTCCCTGCTTCCTCGCCTACTGTCTCTCTCCACTCTCCTCCCTGCTTCCTCGCCTACTGTCTCTCTCCACTCTCCTCCCTGCTTCCTTGCCTACTGTCTCCCTCCACTCTCCTCCCTGCTTCCTCGCCTACTGTCTCCCTCCACTCTCCTCCCTGCTTCCTCGCCTTCAGGGACTCCGTTACACCATGCAGCGAAAGAGCAGCAGTGGGATGCGGTGAGGTGGCTGGCGCAGCAGGGAATAAAGCCTGAAGAGGTGGAAAGGCCGGGGGCCAACCCCAAGGCGGACAAGCTGCCTGCTCACCTCATGGCCCAAGCAGTGCAGATAGTGCGGGAGGTGTATGAGTTGGAGGTTTTGTTGACGGAGTGTATTGTGGAGAATGGTAACAGCATGGGAGGGCATGCCACGGCCGCTGGCAGTTAGTGACCCCGGCTTGGAAATTAACAAACAAATACTGTGTTATAACCCCAGGGGATCCTATATATACTGTATTTTACTATACGGAAGCGTACTACGACTCTATTACCCTCCCCGAAATATCGCAGCCTGGAACAGTAGATTACAATCTCACCTGCCTTATCACGTCTCTTTCAACAACAAACGCTGAGCTCCGTGAACCTGTCCAATCTGGCAAAGGTCTGGTTAAGAAGGATAATGCGGCTTCGCATTGACCTCAAGTCTCCTTGCTTTGAAAGTTGTTGCATTAGCCTTAGCACCGAGGAAATGCTGAGTGCAGGAGAGCATCAGAGGTCAGAGATCAACGTGTGCATACTCCTTTGCAAGATAGCGATTGGCCGTTAGTCTAACCTGCATATTCATCCACACCGCACCGCAGCAGCAAGAACGACAGAATGACAGAAAGGCATGAAGCACACATAGCAAGATTGGAAAACGAAAAGCACCAGAAAGGTTCAGAAAGCATTAGCCACATTGCTGTCGTTACCTTTGGCTTGGAGCCGGAGGTGAGAATGATGGTTTGCCGCTGGGGTGGCAGGAATGAGACGATGTAGTCCATGGTGCGCCTGCGCAGTGCCTCGGGCTCACTCAGCACCAGCAGCTGATGTGCCGTCACAGTGATGATGGTGTGAGCAGATGGAGTGGAGCAGGGGTGGCAAGAAGCAAGCAGAATGTGCACATGATTGGAAGTTGAAATGGGCAGCCAAAGGGGGTAACGGCGAGCTCAGCACATTAGAGTACAACAAACAGCAGAATGACATGCCTTGACCACATGCATTGCGTTGAGTTCGCTGAGTTGCTGAATAATTATCACTTGCCCCGACATGCTACATTCTATTCACTTGCCCCGCCATCAGGCCCCTAGATTCGTTTTGAGGTAGTCTGAGGCCTCAGAGTACACCCCTCCTGGAACTCTGTCTGTCAGAGGTGCCTCAAAATTTTAGTCTGAAAATTCAGACAAGCACAATTTTTTTTGTCTGAACTGTCAGAGTTACTTCAAATTTTAAGATGTTCATGCAGTTTCGTAAAAGCAGTTATAATAGCATTGAGGCTGATTACAGCCTACCATACCAACGCATCAGGCAACGTGCTCGTGCTCGTGCATCGCCTCTGCTCATGTCGGCGGCGTTCCAGTGTTTTTGTCACGTGCAGCGCATGGTTGTTTCTGCTCTGCTGATCTCATTTCGTTTTGTCGTGTGTGTGATTACCGTTCTGTACCCATTTTCTCGCATGTGTGCCGATTTTGTCAGTTTTGGATTTGCTTTTCAAGCGATTCGATCGTTCACCCGATCTGTATCAGGTGGGCCAAGTGCCACGCAGCTGAGCTGGCAACAGGCAGAAACTGTTGCTTGGCGTGGCATGTGAGGATCAGACAGTGCCACACGAAACTTTCAGTACGAATCAGGAACTTCGCAATTCACACTAGTGCGTGCTGCAGATGTTTTTACAGCGAATCAGCATCAAAGTCGCCTATTCTTTACAATACATTAGCGATAACTTACATGTGACGAGATTTTGTCTTCAGAAATCTCGTAATCACGCAACCATTTCCTCAGCGTAACTGGAAGACATTCTCGACGAACGAGTGTATTTGGATGTCCCAGCTGTCGAAGTGAGCGTCGCTCACGTCCTGGCACTCCACTGCCATCTCGGAAGTGGGCATATCGGAAGGAAACTTTCAGGAAACTTTGCTCCGATAAGCGCGCAGAGTGTACACCGATACAAGTCTGAGGCTCAGCCTACCCTAGTAAAATTAGGCTGAAATTTCAGACAACTCATAAGAAAAACTCTGGAAAATCAGACAAGGTACATAAATAAATTCTTTGAGTTCAGACAAGGTACAAAAAAAAAAGTCTGAACGGACTCTGATTCAGACTCCAAAGTCTGATATCTAGGGCACTGCCCGCCATGCTACATTTTATTCACTTGCCGTGACGTGCTACATTCTATTCACTTGCCGTGACATGCTACATTCTATTCACTTGCCCCACCATGCTACATTCTATTCACTTGCCCCGACATGCTACATTCTATTCACTTGCCCCGACATGCTACATTCTATTCACTTGCCCCGACATGCTACATTCTATTCACTTGCCATGCCGTGCTACAGCTGGGGTCCAAGAGACGCATGGCGCTCCAGATAATCGTTGATGTTCTTGTATGGACATGCCATCACCTGCCATGCCACGGCACAGGGACACACCGCATCAATGCAGGCCCAGTATGGCATCACAAATGGCAATCACGAATGTCAATTACAAATAGCAATCACAAATGGCAATCATGGTCATGCAATCACCTCACCTGCCATGCAATCACCTCACCTGCCTTGGATCCACTTCACCTGCCATGAGTTCCCTTCACCTGGCAAGGAAGCATTCTCAACTGCCCTCCTTCCTTCCGCATCTTCAATATCTGAGCGTCCACCCTTGCTGCATGCCCCGCACCATCCCCCGTCCACTCCCACACTGCTGCAGTTTAAAACGCTTCGCTATAAGCGACTGGACTTGGCTTACAAACCTACTGCAGGCGAAGTTTGAAACAGCCAGAAAGAGGATCTCTACAGGGGCATCACCACTGGACGTGCGGTGAAGAAGGGTGTGAAGGTGTGGCAACTGGTGGTTGGAAAGTGCGGGATTGGGGAGAGGGCAGGAAGCATGGGGTGCTGCTTGCAGAGTTTGTTGAAGGGTCAAATGAAAAGCAAAACGACTAGCAATGGATTAATCCTTTCAAACAAAGCGGTTGCATGCCATTATGTGAAGCGGTGCAGGCAGCAAGGGTAGTGAGGAAGGAGTGTGGGAAGGGAAGCAAGGTGCGCGGTGAGTGGAATGGAATGGAGGCGTACGAGGAAGGAAGCCGCGTTGGGGAACTTGTTGGCGCTCGTCATGAGCACATCCGTGCCTGGCAGCAAGGACATGTTGCCGGGGAGGGAGGTGGATGAGACAGGGGTGGGTGGAGGAGACAGGGGTGGAGAGAGTGAGGGCGAGGGTCCCAGCATGGCTGTCACCCCTTCCGACCAGCATGGCGTGTGAATACGCACCGCACGTGAACACGCACCGCACGTGAACACGCACCGCACGTGAACACGCACCGCACGTGAACACGCACCGCACGTGAACAAGCACCGCACGTGAACAAGCACCGCACGTGAACAAGCACCAGCATGGCGTGTGAACAAGCAGCCTGCTTCTCACGCTCGCTGCCTTTGGCTGGGCTGGCTCACCCAGGCCCCCCCCCTTCCGCCATCTTCTCCCCATCCCCCTTTCCTTTATGCGCCAGAGCGCCTCACCAGCAAGGATGTGGGGGAGAGCAGCGCCTCACCAGCATGTGAAGAAATGAGGAATGAATGAACTAGCAAGCAGGTGGGTACAAGTAGGAAAACCTAAAAGTGTTGTACCCCATATTGTCTACCCCACTACAGCCTACACAGACTATAGCATATGAGTTTGACACACCCCCATAGGCAAAGTGGGGGAGAACAAGAGGTCACAAGACCAGTCAAGCAAAGCAAAGCAAGCTCAGGGTGGATCACAACGTCACCACACAGTCCGAGCACAAGAGCAAGGCCACAAGGCAAGTTCACATGCAAGATCATATATAAAGGTAAACAAGCAAGTGCAGGTATAGAAAGATTACAGTACAAGCAAGGTCAAGAAGTGAGCAAGTGAGGCCAAGTAGGCACAAGACCTAGCATCGTACAGAAGCGCTGATGATCACAAGGCGGAAGTGCCTTGGTAAAGATATCAGCAGTGTTGGCCTCAGAGGCCACGTAAGCAAGGCGCAGCTGACCACGCTGCTGCAGCTCACGAGCAAGGAAGTAGCGAAGAGCAATGTGCTTCGTTCTGTGCTCCAGTCTGTGCTCCCGACACAAGGCCAGCATGGCCTTGTTGTCTACGTACAGAACTGGAGGAGAACGAGGCGGCTCTCCTAGGTCAGTCAGCAGGTAGGTGAGCCAGCGTAGCTCCTGTGCAGCCATGGCCCCCGCGTAGATCTCAGCCTCACAGCTGGAGCCGAGAACAGAAGACGAGCGGGTAGACCGCCACGAAACAGAGCCGGAGCCAAGGCTGAAGGTGTAACCCTGTGACGACCGCTGCGTAGCCTGGTCGTCAGCCCAAGAAGCGTCTGCGTGACCTGTGAGGACCACTGGACGTCGCCCTCCAAGCACTAGCCCCATGCCCGACGTACTGCACAAGTAGCGCAACACCCTCTTCGCTGCAGCCATGTGCTCTAGTCGGTGTCTCCCAGGAGCAACATAGCGTGCCAAGATGCTAAGAGGGTATGCAAGGTCAGGTCGTGTGCAGGTCATCAGGTACATGAGGCAGCCAACAAGCTCTGGGTACGGGCCACTCGGCTCTACGGACTCATCCGAAGGCAGAGCTGAGAGCGAGTGGCGAGTAGACAGAGGAGTGGCCTGAGGCAAAGAGTACATGAAGTCGAAGCGCTGAAGGACCTGCTGCACCATGTGTGACTGAGTCAGGGTAATGGTGCGCTGTGCTCTGTCCCGGGTGATCTGCAAGCCAAGGTAGCTGCGCAGTTCACCCAGGTCTGTGCACGTGTGTCTCTTCTGCAGCTCGGACTTCACGTGGGCGAGTCCAGCAGTGTCAGCAGTGGCAAAGACCAAGTCGTCGACGTACACGAGGATGTAGAACGGCGGCAAAGAGGTGTCGGTGCGCAGAAACAGCGATGGGTCGGCTGTAGAAGGAGCAAACCCAAGAGCCGCAAGTGTAGTCCTCAGTGTGTCGTGCCACTCACGGGGCGCCTGGCGGAGACCGTAGACTGGCCGCCGGAGGCTCCACTGGGTACCAGGAGGAAACGACCCAGTGAAGCCAGGTGGGCGGCGCAGCCAGATCTCCTCGTGCAGGCTGCCCTGCAGGAAAGCTGTGCTGAAGTCAAGAGAGTGAAGCTCGTAGTCGCGCTGAGCGGCTATGTGCAGCAGCACCCGAAGAGTGGTCATCTTCGGGGTG